CACAAATCAATCACGTTTCTGGACCTTCAAGATTCCAAAATAGGCCCAAAATGACTTGAATTAAAGATTATGACATCCTCTCCAAGTTCCAAGAAGAGCCCAAGACCAAAAACCATCATCTTCCAGCCCAAAAGTTGCAAAGAAACCCAAAAACGTCATTTTGATAATACTGAGCGCTGTTCCTTTATTTCATCGCCATAAATTATCCACTTGGTAGAAAATTCTGAAACTTTGATACAAACAAGTTGAAATACTAAGGAACAACCTCCAATTAGAATCACTCCAAAATTCATCCGTTTGATTACTTTTTGCTTAAGAAGAACTCAAATGTGCTACATTGAGAATATAAATCAAAGTATCAAAATCTCACCAAAATAATTACTAACATATACTAAGAATAGGGTACAATATATAATATGAAATCGACACATCAACAGTCCACCTTATGGGGACCGGAAAGATTCACAGAGACATTTCGGCCTTTAACATTGAGTTGAGTAGAAATGTCTGCAAAATTTATCAAGGCTTAACGTTGAAGCTTGTTGGAGGGTTAAGAGAGTTTATAAGGAGTTCATGATTCTCTTTTTTAAATAATTAATAGTACGTACCAAACAGGATTTTATTTTCACAAATTGTTGGCGATATAGTCTATGAGAACAAATCTTTAAAATGACATGTTCTTGTTTTAATTCTCAGAGAATGTTATAGAGAAATTATTTCAGAAAACATCGAAGACGGTCCCAATTATTTCTTATTTTCAATTTTTCTTGGTGTATTCAATTGTGATTTTGATGGACTTTAAAAGAGTTGATATTTTAAATGGTATTAATCAAGATTTTTAATTAGCTAGTCCAAGAAAATATAAGAGTATGCAATCAAGATTCTATTTATGATTTGCCACTTAGTACTATGGTCTAACGGTATTCCTATTCACTTGTAAGTAAAAAGTCTTAAGTTTGATTGTCGCTAAAGAAGAATTTGAACCACATTATTACTAGCCTATTGTGAGGAAGAAACATAACCATTCTTTCCGCCATCATGAAATGATGACATTTTGTTTCTCATTTTAGTTTCTATTTCACTTTTATTAATTTTTAGGATAGCACTACACGAAATTATAATGAATTTTAAGTCCTTGTTTGCCGAGGAACATAAAAGAACTTAACCAAACCAGCGTCCTACTCGATAGACAACCATTTGGTTAAAAAGTCAAATTAACGCTCAACTTTCACACACACACACAAAGACTTAAACACAAATATTGTATGTTGGCAGCCTTCAACAGTGGCAATCCTATTCTCTCTTTCTCTCGAGCTTTCTCATGGCATTGAGACCAAAAGCAACACTCGAGATAAATACATGTTAAGCCAGTCTAGACTCTATCCGAGTTTTGACACCAACATAGATGATCTTAGTTAAGTAATATATAAGATGACAAGTGGGAGGCGCTTTTTACTTCTAAAGAATTTTTTACATAGGCTTGCTCATCTGTCTTTGTTAACGTTGTATTATGTCATTATGTTTATTGCAGTTGTTTGCTAGATCACTTGAATAAAATACGACAAAAAATACAGTATTTTTATTGAAGATTTGTATGTAAATTTTCAATCAAGAAACAAGAATATAGATAAGAGAGAGAGAGGAGAGAGACTTGATCCCCATGTACATGTGCAAGAATCCACAAACTCTCGTTGGTTTTCTGTGCAAAAGAAATTCCTCTATTTACAATTAATGGTTGGTTTTGGTAGATTAGGAGATGATAAATTAGGAGACCACAATCTCTTAAGCATTGCAATGATACATAACGCTTAGTGGTACGAGTTTTACAAAAGATCTAATTATTGGTAAAGTTCATTAAATCTCTTATGCAAAATCTAAATGACGATTTTCTAGATTACTCAATAGTGCATACCATGGAAGAAAATTTGATAAATAGAAGCATGTCTTGGTTCACTTCTCCTTGCATAATGTTGCCAAATCTACAAACCAAAAGCCTAAAAAGTCAAGTGAAGCTTGGAGAGGAGAAGCTTTTGGGGTCCTTGGTGTTCTTATTTCAGCTTTTCACTTTAAGTTATATGCTCTTTAATCTTTCCCCTTTAATCATGGACAGAGAGAACTTGCTTTACTATGCACAAAAGGGCAAATACCGAATGAAAAATGTAAAGACCATCTACATGGTAAAGTTAATTGGAAGAGGACGAAGGCTATGGGAAAAAAAATTTGAATTTAACACTTTCATTTTCTACTTACGACTCTTTCTTGAGTTTTGAGCTAAAACTAAAGGTCGAAGAAGGACAGAGGTCCTCATCGAATCTCACTGTCCGTAGCTCAAAGACCGGGCAATCTGCACCACTCAAACTGAATGCGACGGTCTCAGTTTAGGACTAAAAACGAGAAGTAGCTTATAAAAAGAAAATGAATGTGCAGAAATCAGTTTCCATAACTTTCTTTTGACTGATTTGTGAGTGGTTTCCATAGTCTTCTAGATCTAGAGTTTTTTTTGGTTGTTAAAAAAAAATTAAAAAAAATTAAAAAAGATTGAATGACCTCAAATTTCAACACTGTCACATGCACGGACCAATTCCTACTAGTAGAATAATGGACATGTAAAAAAGCAAAAACCTCAAATGAAATGTGGGAAAATAACTTGGACTGATCTTAATCTCATTTTTCGGGATTCTTACATTAATTTTCCTTTCTCTATTCTCTTTCCATTTCTTTGTGTCCTGTCTTTGTCACATTCCAATCTTCTATTGCTGGTAACTTGTATGTATTCCAATTTGGGAATATTGGGTAGCTTCATTCACACTTTTAGTTTCTTCTTCTGCGCTCATTTTCGTTTCTTTTATTTCAATGAATTTGGATTGTATCGGAATTTTACTGTCCGGAGTTTAAAGACAAAAACTTACTTTGACTCGATTATGTTAGTTTAAAGGTTAAATCAAATGCATCTCAATTGTGACGTTACACTAATCTAATGTGTAGCATGAAGTCTAAAGTGAACCCCAGGTGTAATTTGATACCTAAATTGAACTCGATATGTAATTTAGGCGTAAATTGAACTTAGTATGTAATTTGAGACCTAAATTAAACAAGAATGGACAATATTCCCGCTTATACAAGATATAAACCAACCAGAATAAGGCAAACGCACCTTTATCTTTCTTTAATGGTTTACATAATAATTGGAGATGTATACTTTGGGCTAGATCATATAAAGAAAAGAACAAAGGTTAAGTCAATGTTAAGGAACCCTAAGTCCGAATAAAACCAAAACAAAGCAAGAAAATCCCCTAATCCTAAATCCTAATCCTAAAACCTAATCATACAGCAGGCGCCTAAAGCCATAAGCCCAGCTCCAATCAGAGCGGCCCGCTGACGTAAGCCAGGAGAACTTTTCGGGGCCCACACACAACGTATGGATCCGTGATAAAGAAAGAAGTCGCCTTGTGGGACCCCCCCCCGATAGCCACCTCCCCCTACAATGATGTGACCCCCTGTAACATCATAGCCTCATACCCACACACGCTTCGCTCCATCTCAGCCGTCCGATCAAACAATCCTCTCTCTCTCCCACTTTCTCTCTCTAGCTCAGGCTGAGAGAGTCAGTAAAAGCCCAGTGACAGTGTGAGAGTCAGCAGATTTGTCTCTGTCCTCTCTCTCTCCCCCCTCTGAATCCTCGCCTCCGGTGGAACCAAGGCGCACCGTTTCCCACGCACACGGATTCCACGAACAGCCGGATTGAACGGACCGCAACAGCGGCGGCGCTCGCGGCTTTTTTCTGGCGGTAAAGTTCTTTTCTTTGCTTATAATCTACGTCGCTTCGCGGTTTTTTTACTCTTGGTTGTTAAGTTTCGGATCTGTATCGGAAACGCCGCGTTTCGGCAAATGCGTTTCGTTGCTAAAAGAACTTGTGCTTTCTTTAGTTCCCAGAAAGTTCGTCGCGAAATTTATTAAGCGCATTTGGAATTCTTTTGTGTATTTTGCGCTCTGGTTGGTTGCTGAGAAAGTGGAGAAAATAAAAGGCTTATTTTGTGCTCTGTTTGGTTGCCGAGAAAGTGGAAGGAAAACAAAAGACGATGAATTGTTTTAGCTTGGAATGTCGCTGCTCATGATTGGAAACTTGCGAACGTAAAAAACTTTATCTTGATTCTTGCGCGTTTTGCATTTTCCTTCGTTTTCTTTGCAACCAAACAGAAAATAAAAGCTTCAAGTTTTTTCTTTTTCTGCTGTTTGGTTGCCATTTGTGTTATGCTTTTTAAGATCTATGAGTTTCTTGCTGTCAATGTGGCATTCATGTGCTTTGATCTTGCATTTAATCTTCGAAATTCCATATTTGTAAGATGAAATAATAGTTTCATAGAAATAGTTATATTTCCTTTTAGACAGATCTCTTATTTTGTTCTTAATCTGTGACAAAATTGGAATGTGATAATCGTTTTTCGCTGTTAAACTGCCATCTGAATTTGATTCTTAGAACAAAATGCTCGTAATACTGTTGTCTCTTAACTGTATTTTAGATCCCTGATTTGGTACCTGTGCTTAGGATTTGATTAGAGGAAATGTATCTCACATCAATGTGATTATTTGCATATTTTTTTTTTTTTTCAGAATTTAAGGTTGGATTAGAGAGAGAGAGAGAGCAAATTTTCGCAATGGTTTCCTCGGTAATATGTGAAAGTGAAGCTCGAAAGCTACAATGCAATCGGATGTATGTCTAAGTAGTCACTTTGTAGAAATAGAATCTGCTGTTGGATATGGGATTCAGTTTAGAGCAACGAAATAGTTCAAAAGAGCAGAACAAGTTCAGCATAGAGGACAATGTTGTACAGCCCCAAACGTGTCGAAGAACAAGGCATATGGAGAAGGCAAAAGTGAGAACTGGAGCTGGTTTGAAGCAGAATGATCTGCATCAGAAAGCAAGACAAGATGCAGGTGATGGTGCTTCAGGCCAAGATAAATTTTCAGGATATCAATATAGAGAGAGTATGGAGGGGAATAATGATGAGCTTGTCAAGCACATGTCAAACTTGCCCGGTTATCTTCAGCGCCCTGAGAGAGGAGAAAAGATCCAAGAAAAGGTTTTGAATGTTGGAGTTCTGGATTGGGGTCGACTAGAGAAATGGAAGCACAAGCAGAAGCCTTTTCCCATAAAAGGTAGCGGTAGTTCATCCTCGGAAAGGATTACTGGAAAGTCTACATCATCTGTTGTAGTTTGCAATGGGACAAATGCTGAAGAACTCTCTTTAGGTTGTTCTAGTCTCAAGTTGTCTCAAAAGGATGGCCTTTCGCAGGGTGTCAAACCATCTGTGCATAAAGATGCTGCGCTTCCAAGACTCTAAAACTGCTTCGAAGAATGCCATTTATGGGCAGAAAAAGATATCCTTTCCCTATCGGTCCCTTGGAAGAAATCACTCAGATATGATGCTCGATAAGGGGAAGGCAAAAGATTCTGATCAGAAGTTCACATCAGAAACGGGCAATATGGCAGCAAACATGAAAAGCTATGGAGTCTCTCTCGATCAAAAGCACGAGGTGAGCACTAGGGATGGTCGAGCTAAAAAAACCAAGGACCTGCAAGAATCGGATATCAAGAGGAAGGATATTGATCAAGGAATCATTACGGAAAAGGGAGTTCCTTCATCTAAGCTCAAAAGTTTTGATGTCTCGCTCATTTCAGAGGGAAAGACACTTGCTTGTCATGGTACAACCGAGAAAAGGGTGGAGGAGCTGCACAAATCAGATACCAATCTAGCTCATCAACACTGCCCTTCTGCGGAGAATCCCGTTGTTGTCTCACCACCAAAGGAACTACCCCAAAATGACTTTCCAGAGGTACTCCAGCTTTCAAAACCAAGAGCATCATGGGATGAGTGTATGGCAGAAGCTGATAAAATTAGCTTCTCAGGCAACTTTTCGACCAAAGAGATGGACTTTGCCGAATTCTCTTCTGAAGTTTCACACTCATGCCCACTGCCTTCTGCAGTTGAGACTAATACAGTATCAAACATGTTGCTAAATAGCACAATCAACGGTAACAGTGTGGGGCTTTCCTTTGTTCCATCTCACATGCGTCAATGCTCAACACAAGACCTCCTCTATGATGATAAATTTGTACATAAGAAAAAGTCAGAGAAAATGCTTACCCGTTCAAGCTTTGATACTTCGAGTACATTGGATCAAGAAGATGTTGAGCTGGCAACTAGAAAAGGTAGAAGCCCAACTCCCATTCGCCGGTTTAACTTCAGCTTAGGCCGACTTGGTAGAAGTCTAAGTTTTAAGGAAATTTCAGATATTCCACAGTTGAGTTCCACATATCTGACGGTCAAATCAGGTCCTGTGAGATCTGGAACTTCCGATTGTCCGGATAATCCAAACAGAGAGAAAGCAAGTACTCATAACCGAGCTCGATCAAGCCCGTTAAGAAGGCTACTAGACCCAATATTAAAGCACAAGGAGGCAAATCTACACCATTCTGCTGAAGCTGTTAGACCCCCGAAATCAAATTTTAATTCCTTGGTCCCCAAGCCAATTAATATCAGTGAGTCATTGGAGAATCTGAAGGCTGAGGCATCATGGGTTAAAGCTTTTTTGCAAATAACAATCAAGAATGGACTTCCTTTGTTTAAGTTTTGGGTTGACAACAACAGAAACTGTTTTGCGGCAACCATGAAGAATTTATCATCTGGGAAGGATGATTTCTGCCAGTATTTTACATTTTACTGTATTAATGAAGTTAAGAGAAAAAGTGGTGGCTGGATGAGTCAAGGAAGTAAAGGCAAAAGTTGTCGCTATGCTTACAACGTTGTTGCTCAAATGAAAGTTTCTAGCTCTGACTTATCTGATGTTAACGGGCAGGACTTGAGCAAGTATATGGTAAGAGAGGCTGTTTTGTTAGATGTTGATCTAACACAAGCAGATCAAGAATCACCTAGCGTCGTACCACATAGGGAGCTTGCTGCTGCTGTGGTCAAGTTACCTAAGAAAGACTTGAGCCATTCTGAACAGCAGAGTGGCAAGGAAGTTATGGAGAAGGGCTGTGCAAAAGGTTCATCCGAGGATTACAGCTGGGAAGATAGTGCTATAGTCATACTTCCAGGTGGAGTCCATAGCTCACCGAACACAGGAGAACCTTCACCATTACTTGACCGTTGGAAATCTGGTGGGTTATGTGATTGTGGAGGCTGGGATGTTGGTTGTAAGCTGCGTGTTCTCTCCAACCAGAACAAATGCTGTCAGATTCCAAAAACATCCTCCGCATGTTACCCTTTTCTAGAGACTTTTGAACTATTTGCGGAGGTATGATTTTTGTTTCAGCAAAGCACTCTGTCCATATCACACAATTGATGGTGGTGTTTTAGCCAATTTACATGTTGATTTTGTATTTCATTTCAGGAGGGAGCTCAGCAGAACAGACCAATCTTCAGTTTGGCACCAGGGAAGGATAGAAGCTACTCGGTTGAATTCAACACATCACTTTCTTTATTACAAGCATTCTTCATCTGTGTTGTCGTAATCAGCAGTTGCAGACCATCAGATCTTTCAGAAGTTAGTAAAGTGTCAGAGGCGAAAGAATTCCAGGAACCGAATCTGAATCAAAGTAATGGAATCCAGGTGACAGGTCCGGCAAAGTATGCTCCAAATCCACCCCTGTCACCTGTTGGGAGGGTCTAGCTTTGTCCGAGGAAATCCTTTTTGCTGTTCGAGTCCGACAATCGATGGTTTCAAATACAGCGGGAAACATCTCGTAGCCAACAAACCATTGTCGTGTGAATCCATGGATGCTCAAGTTTTTTAGGGAAACTTGCATGTTATTACAGAAAACATGTATGAGTTCGGCCGTTGCTCGTTTTGTGCTGCTTTTTTACTGCATTACCATGTGTAAAGGGAAAAAACTCAAAAACCAAACTTCAACATCTTCAAAGAATGATGGTGTAAATATGCCCATGCTAGGGCATTTCAGATACGATAGTACCAATTCTCCGTGCTTATCAGTTCTGTTTAGATGACGCCATCGGACATTTTACCCATATCGTGACTTCAAGTCATTATGTGTAGAAGGAGAAAATAGACATGTGGAAATCATTTCCCGCACAAATTTTTTTTAAGGTTCTCAAACCACAAAAATTTAGTTTAACTGAAATTTGAAAATGCAATATAAACCGTGAAGTTGTACATTATACATGTATTTGAGTTTGTAAAATTCACAAGTCAAGAACTGAAGCATGGTGAATACAGATAAACCATTTACCATCAATTTTCTCAAACACATTTGTTGCAAACTGTCCACCCCAACTGCTACCCTTTGTCTTCACCAACTCGACACAAGAAACATACCCGACATCCCCTCTAACGTAAACATTAACATCTTTCAGCTCAATCTCTAGTGGAAATTCGTAGTTTGCCCACACGTAGTCCCAGCTAGTCATAACATCTTCGTAACCATAGATTCCACGAGCACCCGGGTGCACGCAACAGACTTCTTTCCTTTGGGCCCAAAGGGCTTGCATTGCAGCTAAATCCCCAATCCTGAATGCCTCGTAGAATTGTGCATTTGCTGTTCTAACAGAAGTTAGACTGTCCTGCATCAGAAGTTTGAGGCTATCACGAATTTGTGCTGCTTTGGCATAGTCCTCCTCTGCAATGGCAATGTCTAGATCACGCTCCAAGGTTTGCGCATCCAATACGATGCTTTCGCCACCACTTGAGCCTTCCTTTTGAGTCATCGCCTATCACATTACAATAAGTCTAAATCGTATAGATCAAAATAAGTCTAAATCAAACCAACTTGAAATCGGCAACGAAATAACAATGTAAGCAAATATGAAGGAAGTCATCAACAAATTCAAACATATTCCACTCGTTTCTTTCATAATCTTCAAATATCCAATCCAAAATATGAGATTCCCAACACTCAATCATAACATGGAAATTCAGAATCAATGTGAGCTCGTTTCACAGTACAAAGATCAAAACTTGAAATTATATGCATTCGACGCAGACGTGAGTTAGGCCAGTTGTCTAGGGCAACGTGCCCGCCACATTGTACTAGAGTTCGAATCTCACTCCCCGTAAATTAGAGTAGTTTGAAGCTAAATAAGCGTCCTTGGATTAATCATCATTCATCATCCACTTTGAAGCTAAATACAATTGAATTTTAGCAAATAGAAACTTAATTAAACATTATGAACTAATATATCTCAAAACGGGGAAACATACAGAGCTAAATACAAACTAAACGACATTGATAATTAAGCACAACTCACATTTAAGCAGAAAAAACCAGATCCATGAAGCGCCATGAAAACAGAAGGATTTCTGCAATCCAAGCACCACCCAGAATTATATAATCAGAAATATGAAAAGGGTAAGGATAAGGATTTAGGTTTAGGGCTTAGAGCCTAGAGCTAGGGTTTTGAGCTGTCAGAGCGCCTGCTTTTAGGGTTTTCGCAGAGATGAAGTTCTGCAGGAACTGGAAATTTTACAGTAGTATGGAGGGCACAACAAAATCGGCCCAATAAGAAGATATAATGGGCCAAGCAAGGGGCCCAAACTTTAGCCTACTTTGGACCTTCCAGAAAAGAGGAACTTTCCAAGAAACTTCCAAGGCCGAATAACATGTTAGCTTCATCGTGTAATGGCTCCAGAACATTCCAAAGATTAGTTAATAATTACACAATTAAATAGGAATAAACACGTGAATGTCCACCATTTTCTTTGTCAAGGACAAAATTGCACCATAAAAATAGCATAAGATATATCCATTTGCTTTGTTTTTTGTTATCTTTTTCTAGGAAATTTCAATTGCTCAAACTTACTTCATTGACAGCCAATTTTCTTGTTATTTTAAACTTCTAAGGGATGAACTATGAAGGACGAAGCGTAGTTCTTTATCTTATTTTAGTTTTTTTAAAATTAATATTTTTCCATCTCTATGTATGCAGGGTTATATTTAATTACTTGTTAAGGTCAAACTTAACCTGCTTTGAGGCTACATTTTGTTTGCCCTAGGGCCAAACTTAGCATGATTCTTTTAGTCCGATTTTTTTAGTCCTTTGGTTGGAGAGTGATTTTGAATATTTTAGGGCTAAATGTGACCTATAGCTCTTGACTGATAATGCCTAATCCCATATTCTTTTTTTTTTAAGGAGAAAAAAGGGACTAGTCGGTGATTTCGCCACGTCAATCCACCCTTCTAATGATCGAAAAGACTTCTACAGGCATTTTGGCCTCCCACTGACAACCATCGTGCAATTTACCAGCAGCAAAAATTGAATTCAGGACGTGCCGTGTGGAATACGGACCTGAAATTCATTACTAACCACTAGGGCATTCCGTGGTTGTTGCCTAATCCCATATTCCAAGATTTCTGTATAATCGAACTTGTGTATGAATATGTTTTGACCAAGTAACTTAATTGAGTTGCTGAAATTGTACTCTGCCATATGTCAATTATGACATTTTGGTAATTGAAATAGTTTTGTAAAGAGCACCAACCGTACATCCATTGTCTGGATAGACCATGGTCCTTGAATAAAAAATATAAAAAAGATCGAACATGGTCAAAACTGGAAAACTATTGAACCTTGAACGGAATGAATGACATCTGGTAAACGGAGATATTTTTGGCTATTTTTGTAAATATGTTCTGTATGTTACAGTCTCCGTCATTAAGCGGCAAACACTAGATTGTTATTGTTGATATATTTCTGTTTCTTTAAAAAATTATCAAGTGTCATTCACTAATACTTCATTTGTAAATAAAAAAAACCTTAAGTTTGATTCTCACTAAAGACGAATTTGAATCATAGTATTGGTGGTTCATTATGAGACTAAATCCACTTTTCTTCCTTAATAATATTTTTTGTTAAAAAAAAATGATCATGAGACTTGCAAGAGCAGAGCTCGCTATAGGCTCTCCTGGGTTATAGTTTAATGAAATTTAAAAAAAAAAAATTATTGTAGAGGAAAATAATTTGACAGAGAATTTCATATATTACAATGTGAGGCATAGTCACCTTTATATAGCAATGTGACTATCCTGGCAAATTGCACAAATACCCTAATTCAATAGAGAGAATTAATTGTCTAATCAATTGAGGAATCAATGGCCTAACAGTTACACCAATAAGTAGACAGACATAAATATCCTTCTACATTTGAAATTACTACTAATGTTTTTTTTTGACAAACGATATTATCTACTAATATCGACACTAAGGGGAGGGGTGGGTTAGCCTTACAATGGGCTAGCAATAATGTGATTCAAATTCGTCTTTGACGAGAATAGAACATAAGACCTCTCACTTATATTTGCAATTGCTACTAATATTTAGTCTAAAAGAAAAACCAAAATCTTATCCCATCTTAAGTTTAGTCTACACTTATGCTCCAGCAACATGTAAATATTAGCCTAGTCCTATACAAAGTGGGAAACGAAAAACACAAATATTTAGCGTCTTATACACTGCTTTTAATTTATGGCCATCGAATTTGATAAATTAAAAAAATTAACACATGATTCAATAAAAGTGTGTGAGAAGCTAAACCGATGTATATTAACATTTCTCAATAAATTTCTAGTTTCATTCTTGACTTGGTCAGTGTTGCAAGCCATGTGAAGAGTTTTACAGATAGAGAGAGAGAGAGGTGGGCAATCGGGATGGGGATGTAGGTATCTACCAAGCAATTTTTTGGCAGGCAATGGGATCTTTCGTCGATGAAAAGTTTTGGGCAAAAGAGGGTACTCATAAGGAAAAGCTTGTAAACCTTTTACCCAAAATCGTGGAATTGCAGAGTACGTAACAAAGACATTTGTTTTGGCAGTAAATTGACTATTCATTCTGCACCAACAAGTGGTTTGTTAAGTGGTCCTGATTAAAAGCCACTCTGACCCTTCAATCCTTTGGTTGCTTGCCTTGCCTTGCCAAGCTTTGACACCAAGAAGCTGATGAAACCTAACAATTGGAGGACTAAATCATTGCCCATTGAACTACATGTCATCAATGAGCCAATAACAAGCCTCCCATAACTCTAGGGTTTTAAAGATGTATGTAATTGTCGTCTGACGCTAGTTACCAAAGTATAGACTACAAAGTAATAAAGTTGTAAGTGTGAGTAACATTACCAGAATTATAAGAAGCGCATTTTTTACTCATCTCCGTGTTTTGACCAAAAAAAAAAAAGGTTAGCTTTCGAAAGAAGCTCTCGGTTGTGTTTGATTTTTGGTGGTAAGCAAATTAAGGTCATGGAATTGGGAAAAAAAGAAGGATAGTGCTATTTACGCACCAATATTTTTTTCTAACACATTCTTTTAATTTATGATCGTTTGATTGAACGAATTGAAAAATATCAATAACAAAAAATTAACATGTGCGAGATAAAAATGAGTGTATAAAAAAATAAATAAATAAATACGGGAGCCCTAGATGTGATTGACATGGAATGGAAGTAGGATGCGGGGAGAGAAGAGAAGGCACGTGACACGTTGCAATCACGTGGAAGAAGCCGCCTTGGCCGTTTATTGTCTTCAACCTTAACCCTAACCACCTTTCGAGCGTTTGACCACTTCGTTACACGTCCCAGGCTCCCAGCCCTCCTAATTTTAGTCCATTTTGTACTGCCCATGCTCATATGACCAAACTACCCCATGCCTAGTTACTCTCTTTTCTTTATTGATGCCCAATAAGTGGCTTTATTACACTATTTGATTATTCTAATTATCTAACGCATTACTTGGTCATCTATTCAACGGAGTGATGAAATAAATTAATATCAAACTCATTATCTACAAGATTTGATATCAAAATTTTACACTTATAAGTGAATAAGTTACTAGTAGATCCGTAATCCTAAATGATAGCTTACAAATTTAAACAATTTCTAGCAAAGGTCACACACTCTGTGTGTTGAGATATATATTTTTTAAATATTTTTTTATTTTATTTTTCTAATGAGATGAGTTATTTGTTTTTAACATGTTGCTGGCATCTCAAAAAATAAAAAGGGTTGGCAGATAGGAAAGAGAACGAAAGAGAGACAATAAGTAGAGGATATTAATAAAGTGACATAGCTGTGAAGTTTAGAGAAAAAAAAAAGTAAAAACTTGTTTTTACAAAATTACTTTAATGCCCACATTGTTTTTCTTTCTAATTCTTCTTTCAGCTTTGTATTAAAGGGTATATTAGTAATTATATTAGGTTTTTTTATTGACAAATAATATTTTATTAACATGTAGCTTAGATATCACTTATCGATTCAAATGCAAAAAAGTAATACGCATTCCTTAGAATCTTCATTAACTTTTCAAATATACATATTCAAGCTTCTTTCTTTGTTCTCCCTGCTTATCTGCAAATTTTGGCCAATCAATATCGCACAATTGTGGAACTGAACGATATTATTTCGAAACTGAGCGATATACTAATTCGACTCAAACTAAAAAAGATGGCACAAGCAAATAGAAAGCTCACTGTCGAATCTACCTATGTTATACCGGGGTTGGTAATTTACACAAAAACAGGTGAAGCGGGTACCAAAAAACTCCCAGTCAGACAGACATGCAAATATGCTGTACCATTTTACCTTTTTATTTTATTTATGCGCTGTACCAACAATAAATTATGTTTATGTTATATGGACTTCAAATTAACCCCCACCACCAATCAACCCCCCTAACCTCTTGGCCTTTGCCTGGCTTGAAACGGCATGGCATGCCTTGGCTTCCACATGTTCTTGTTTATCTCTCTCTCTCTCTCTCTCTGAGTAGTTCTAGAATATGGTATTCGGATTACATGTCTGTGTATCTTAATGGCGTGCCGCCTCTTGCTTTGAGACCACCACTATCGAATATAATGAATCTATCTCTTAATACGAGATTTTTCAGTACATTCACAGCACAGAGTGATACGCCACAAGTGGAATGAAGTTTTTTTTTTTTAAGTATCCCTTCAGTTGTATAATGACATATTGCGTATGGTCCATGTTCCGCGTGTTCAAATATCCCACATTAGCAACATGAGAGAGAAAAGTAGAAATTAAATATTCTAACCTCATTCCAATTAATACCTAAGCCTTTGGTGATAAAACTTTACACCTGCTACACTGTGCAGATGGTAATTAATAAGTTAAAAACAATACTGGTGTTGTTAGAAGCAGACATTTAGCCCATCTCTCTAATAATTTGACCCCAAACACTAAAAAATCTCTCTCGTTACATCACCTCCATGACTCAATGGGTGCCACACCCAAGACCTTCATCTCTTTTTGCCTTTCGCATTTTTTCCCCTGTTTATTCTTTCGAATCATTATATGCACAAAGAGTTGGTTTTGTATAACAAGGTTGAAGAGACATGAATGTGTTTTTCGTGAAAAGTTTTCACGTCGTCTATCTTTTTAAATGTTTTCAATAGTAAAATATATTAGTAATTATTAGTATTTTTGAAAATATGCATGACATTGTGAAAAGTTTTCATGTTGTCTATTTTTTAAGAGACATGAATG